AACGGCTCCACCTTCCCGCCCATGCTCCCCTGGCGGTTGTTGTTCGTCCGCTCCAGGATGTTCCCGAAGAACCGTGACGTGTTGAACTGCACCGTCCCCAGGTCCACCGTCACCACGCCGTTCAGGCGCGCCATGTCCCCGTCCAGCGGCACCGTGAGCCCCGTCGACACCGCCGTCGCCGGGTCGTCGTCCGTCGTCTTCTCGAACCGCGTCAGGAACGGCAGCACCGTCTCGAGGTACCGCTCGGAGATGTCCTGGCTGATCCGCGTCACCGTCACCCGCGCCCCGTCCGCCGCCTCGAACACGCCGCTGTTCACGTCGCCCTCGATCGATCCGCGCACGGAGTCCGAGATCACGTTCAGCATCGCCCCGCCCGTATCCCGCGACAGGTCCGCCGTGCGCAGGTCGATCAGCGTCACCGGGCCCAGCAGGTCGTACACCGCGCCGTCCGACCGCGCGAACGCGTCTAGGATCATCGTCGGCACGTCCCCCCGCGCGTTCATCGTCAGGCGGGCCGCGCCCTCGCGCAGACCCGTCACCGTCCCGCTCGCGCTGAGCTTCTCCGACTCGCTCGCCCCGCCCGCCAGACGCTCCCGCGCCGAGACCTCGAACGCCAGCGTCCCGATCTCGCCCTCCGGGCGCACACGCGCCATGATCTCCTCGAACGCGAATTCCTCGCCCCCCTCGATCCGGAACGACGCCGTCCGCGTCCCGACGTTCGCCTCGAGATCGAACACGCCCGGCTCGAACCGGTTCCCCGAGGGCCCCAGCACGAGACGGTCCACACGCAGCACGATCGGCGTCAGCTCCGTCACGTCCAGCCGGTTCTCCCCCGTCCGCGCGTCGTCGATCCGGACGTACCGCTCGAGCAGCGCCTCCGGCACGTCCCACGTCGCCGACACCGGCTCCACGAGACCCACCGCGTCACCCTCGTCCCGCAGGTGGACCCGCGTCGAGAGCCGCTCGCTCCCCAGCTGCAGGTAATACGCCCGCGCCCCGGGGTTCACCTGATCCCGGACCTGAAACTCGACACCCGCCGCCTCCCCCAGCGCGAGCCCGAGCGTCTCGTCCAGCCCGAGCCACGCGTCCACCGCCCCCGGCGCCACGCCCTCGAGCGTCACGTCCACGTCCGCGATCCTCGTCACGCCGCTCCGCGCGTTCAGCACGCCCAGCGCCGGCCGCCCATCCGCCGTCGGATCGAACAGCGTCCCCAGCACCACCGCCTCCCGACGCGTCGCGTCCTTGCCGTCGTGCCGGTACCGCAGCACCAGCTCGCGCAGCCCCGCGTCCACGAACGTCCCCGGCGCGTCCGGCCGCTCCACGCCCTTGAGCACCACGTCGTCCGCGAACGCCACGCTCGCCGTCACGTTCCGGATCGACTCCGGATCCGGCACGAGCCCGTCCTTCAGCGCGATCCGCGCCTCGTTCATCGTCAGCGTGTACACCTCCGTCGCCAGCAGGCGGAGCGACTCGCCGCCCACCCCCGGCGCGAACGTCCCGCGCAGCACCTCGAACGCCAGCGGCGTCAGCTCCCCGCGGAATCGCGTGTCACGCAGGAACAGCGCGCCGTCCCGCACATCCACCACCATCCGCCCCCCCAGCCGGCCCGAGTCCGTCTCCACGTCCAACGCGTGCACGAGCTCGCTCGTCGACTCGTCCGGACGCAGCGTCAGCGTCACCAGCTCGCCACCCAGCGAACCCGCGACCTCCGCGATCTCCGGCGACACGAGCTCGAGGACCGACAGCGGCACGTTCGACAGCTTCGCCTTGACCTGCGCGCGCAGCGACGCGACGTCGAACGCGAATCCATCCCGTATGTCCGACGGCAGCTCCAGGCCGTCGATCGTCGACCGCGACCACAGGTCGAACACCCGCCCGTCCTGGCGGAAGCGGTAGTCCATCAGCAGGCCCGCCGGCGCCTCCGGCGCGACCGTCAGCCGCGTCTCCAGGCTGATCACCTCGAGCGGCGGATCATCCGACCCCGCCTCACGCACCGCGAAATCGCCCGCGATCACCCGCACCTCGCCCTCCGCCATCGACAGATCCGGCCACACCCCGTCGCGCAGCGGGATCTTCGGCGACACGACGCCGATCGCCCCCACGCCGCTCCCGATCAGCTCGACCCCCTCGCCCAGGTGCGGGCGCAGCACCGCCGTCGCCCGCATCGTGTCCACCTTGAACGCGTACTCCTCCGTGCTGAACAGCGTGTCGTCACGCAAGATCAGCTCCGGCGACGAGATCTCGAACCCCTCGCTCTTCGCGCTCAGCGTCAGCCGCACGTCACCCAGCGGGCCCGTGCCCTCCGCAGACTCGACACTCAGGTCCAGCTCCGCGAGAGACGGACCGATGATCCCCGACGCCGTGTACGGTGTCCTCGCGAACAGCGGCTCCAGCAGCGCCGACGGCACGCGACGCACGTCCGCGTACGCCCGGATCGTCCGCAAAGACCCCTCGTTGAACCCCATCGACCGGGTCAGCGGGCCGTCGATCGACCCCGTGATGTTCACCCCGCCCGTCCGCTGCCCGTCCACCGCGAACGACGTCACGACCGTCGCGTCCACCTTCCCCGACAGGTCCGCCGCCGTCAGGTTCATCTCGACCGGCGACACCTCCACGCGCGAACGCCCGCCGCCCTCGTCCTCGCTCGTGAGCATCACCGACCCCAGCGTCACCGTCGCCACGATCGAACCCGTCGACGGGTCCACAAGACCGCCACCCTCCGGCAGCAGGCCGATCTCGAACCGGCGCAAGTCCACGCTCGCCGACGGACGCGTCCGCAACGAGACCGGCGTTCCCTCGTCACCCTCGAGCCGCGCCAGCAGCCCGTCGAACGCCGGGATGTTCGACGGCCCGGAAGACGAAGCCACCCGCAGCAGCCCGCCCTCGAGCGACGCCTCGAACCGCGCCACCACCCGGTCGCCCGCGAAGCTCGGCCCCTCGACCGTCACGCGCGACGGCGACGCGTCGAGACCGAACGCGTGCAACGCTCGCTCCACAGACTCCCGCGCCAGCACCGCGTCGAGCGTCGCGCTCGCCTCGCCCGCACGCACGTCCAGCGACCCCGTCGGCGTCACGAACCCCTCGCCCGTCGCCGTGATCGAGAGCTCCGGCGACGCCGAACGCACCGACGCGTCCAGCGCCCCGCGGTCGAGGCGTGCCGTCGCGTCCAGCGCATCAAACGCCACGATCTCGCCGTGCTCGTCCTCCAGCGTCAGCGCGAACCCGCGCAGCTCCAGCGTCGCCACCAGGTCGTTGATCACCGAGAGATCCGCGGACCCGGCGCCACCGCCAGAAGAAGACCCGCCGCCACCCGCGCCGCCGCCCGAGTTCCCGTGAAGGGACTCCGGCGTCAGCACCACAGACCCGCCCACCGTCACCGTCCCCGCGTCCCAGTCGAACCCGACCGCGTCGAGCAGCGTGATCTCCGTGCCCACCGTCAGGTCCGCCAGCGTCCGCCCCGACGCGTCCGTCACCGTCAGCGATTCGATCGTCGCCGGAGAGTTCCAGCCGATCCGCACCGACGCGCTCCCCGTCCCCCCAAGCGCCTCGCCCGCTGCCTCCGCGATCATCCCCGAAGCGATCTTCGAGACAACCCGCGGCACCGCGAGAAAGCCGATCGCCAGCAACGCGACGATCAACCCGAGCAAAATCACACCCAGGAGCAGGAACGGACGGCCGGACTTGTGGTCTCTCTCTGTCGTGGTCATACGAACAGGGTATACCGAGCGAAGCCCCCCGGATTCTCCGCGAATCTCACCGGAATCATCGTTTTCGCGCACGAAAAAAGGCCCGGGTCCGGGCCTTTGAGCGTTCGTTTCGGGTGTTCTCCAGCCGTTCAGGCCGCCCGGGACATCGCCTTCGTCCAGGCGTATTCCAGCCCCACAGCCTGATGATGGTGATCGATGGGCACCACGCGCCGCACCTTCGCGGTCACGAGCTTGTCCTCCCGCACCACGCCCTCACCGTCCCACGCGATCGCGATGCGGACCTCGTCGCCAACCTTCAGGCTGCCGTTCCGCCCCAGACGCACGAGGCAGCCCGATTCCGAGACGTTCGTCGTCTCACCCGCGGACGCCGTGGGGCGCCCGGGAAGGCACACCTTGCACCGTTTCACGACGGGCTTGCGATCGAATCGGCGCTTCTCATCGAGGTTTCTGCTGTCCATGTCGCCCTCTTTTCGTGGCCGGAAATCCGGGTGAAAGATGCCTCTTCCATCGGTCCAGAACGTCCGCCTATCCAGCCCGAGCGTCACAACGGACCGACTCAGGGGGGGTGCCCGGGCGGGCGAGGCGCAAAAAAGACTGCAAAAAAAGGGTGATCCGCACCGGATTCATCCGAAACTCCTCTTGTCGAACACAACGTGTTCCCATAAAAACATCAAATCGGGCCGAGGATTCCAGTGTTTTCCGGACCTCGGCATTCAAGGATCAAACGTGTCACGGAGGAATCCACCAATGGCAGCCCGCACCACCAAGAAGCGCACCACCAAAAAGCGCACCACGAAGAAGCGTACGACCAAGAAGTCCACCGCCCGCTCCACCAAGAAGGCCCCGGCCCGCAAGACCGCCGCGAAGCCCCGCATCCCCGCGGCCGACAAGCCCCGCACCAAGAGCGAGATCTTCGGCCTCATCTCCGATCACGTCGGCATCACCAAGAAGGAAGTCGCCGGCGTCTTCGAAGCCATGACCGCCATCATCGAGAAGGACCTCAAGAACAAGTCCGTCGGCTCGTTCAACGTCCCCGGCCTCATGAAGGTCACCGTCCAGCGCAAGCCCGCCGTCCCCCGCCGCAAGGGCATCAACCCCTTCACCAAGGAAGAGCAGTGGTTCAAGGCCAAGCCCGCGCGCAACGTCGTCAAGGTCCGCCCCCTCAAGGGCCTCAAGGACCTCGTCTGACAGACGCTCGACCGTAAAGTCTGATTGAATACGCCGCCCCCGCTCCGACGGGGGCGGCGTTGTTTTTGCCCTGCGCAGCGCGCCCGCTCGCGGTACCTTGCCCCCATGCCCAACCCCTTCACCGGAAAAACGATCCGCGCCGTCATCACCGACGTCGACGGCTGCCTCACCGACGGGCGCGTCGGCTTCACGTCCAACGGCGACTCCGTCCGGCACTTCCACACCCACGACGGCCTCGGAACCCAGCTCCTCATCCAGGCCGGCATCCACGTCGCCTGGCTCAGCGCCGGCAGCAAGCCCGAGTCCATCTTCGCCCGCGCGCAGACCATCGGCGTCGAGCACGTCGACGTCAACAGAGACGAAAAAGGCCAGCGCTTCCTCGACCTCTGCGCGAAGCTCGGCGTCGACCCCGCCCACACCGTCTACATGGGCGACGACCTCAAAGACCTCCCCGCCATGGCCCACGCCGCGATCAGCGCCTGCCCCGCCGACGCCGTCAAGCAAGTCCGCGACGCCGCACACCTCACCCTCACCCGCAACGGCGGACACGGCGCCTTCCGAGAACTCGCCGACCTCATCCTCGAAGCGAGATAGCTACCCCGAACGCCAGTGAGGGGACCGAAACATCCCACCCGGCCATTCACGGCCCATTCGCTGCTGTGCCATAGCAACCGCGAGAGTCATCGAGCGGACACGCTGAAGCACACCCCGACACCAGCCAGCCCCGCGCCGTCCGCTGCGTCTTCCGAAGCGAGCTATAGCAACCCCGAGCGTCAGCGAGCGGGGTCCACGGCGACGCCCATACACACCAAGACAACCGGGAGCGTCAGCGACCGGGCTCGCACGCAAGCGCAGAGATGATCCGATCTCGCGCGATCAACCAGCCCGCTCCCTCACGGTCGCGGTTGTCTTCGTGCTCCACACACTCAACAACACCCCAAAGACTCGACAGTGAAGAACCTCACCGTCTCACCGTCTTAGCGAATCAACCGCATATCCCCAGCATTCGGCACCGGCACCCGATCCAGAACCTTGTAGATCGACGGGAAGTACACGAAGAACGCCTTGCCCAGCATCAGGTCCCGGTGCACCACGCCCGGCGTCGGGTCGATCAGCTCCGCCACGCGCCCGTTCACGCTCGTCCACCCGCGCCCGTCGAACGACGCCGCGCTGTTGTCCCCGCAGCAGAAGAAGTGATCCGGCCCCAGCTTGATCGCCGTGCTGGGCGACACGCCGTTCCGGAACTCCGGCCGGTAGTACACGTCCCGGTCCAGACCCACGCGGTGCAGCGTCACCGGCCCGCCGAACGCCCACGAGATCTCCGGACGCGACCGCGCCTCGTACGTCTCGTCGCTCCCCAGGTTCGGCAGCAGGTCCCGCTCCGCCTCGTACTGCTCGCGCGTCGCGCCCACCGTGTGCAGGTACCGCGTCGACGCGTCCCACTCGTACACCCCCTTCGCCACGACCTTCCCGTCGACGTGCACCTCCAGCGACTGGTCGTAGTGCCAGAACTCCACGTTCGTGATCTCGCCCGCCTCGAGCGCGTCGATCTCGCCCGTCGCCACCGTTTCCCACGCGCCATCACCACGGAGCGGACGCATCCGGATCGTCGCCCCCGTCCCCACCAGCTGCGCCTGGAACTCGTGCTCACGCACGCGCACGCTCATCGTCACGTCCGTCCCCTCGCCCGACGGCTCCACGCCCGCGCGCACACGCACGTCGCCCACCGGGAAGTTGTCGAAATTCGCGTTCGACCCGTGGTACGGCTCGTTGTACGGCACCCAGTCCCACACCGGCCACAGCTCCCCGTTCCACGACAGCGTCGATGCCCCGCCGCCGTGCACCAGGCGACCCCCCGGCTCCACGCTCCACCCATCGCCGACCCACGGCATCCGGAACCCGCGCGTCTCCACCCGCGGCGTGTACTCGCTCGAGAACAGCGTCCGCCACAACGCCTCCATGATCCGACGCGGCTTCCGCTGGATCGTGTACGACCCGTCCCCCGTCGGCTCGCCGTTCCGATCGAGCGGACGCGCGAACACGTCACCCTCCACGAGCAGCACCTGCTCGTTCGGCAGACCCAGCAGCCGCTTGATGTAGTTCTCGTTCGCCGTCTCCGCCTTCGACGGGTTCTTGAACACCACCACGTCGTACCGCGACGGCGGGAAGATGTTGTAGAGGTACTTCTGCACCAGGATCCGGTCGCCCGCCAGCAGCGGCTTGGACGACGGCGGCGTCGTCACCCCGATCGGGCGCGGCTCCCGGATGTCCGGCGTGTTGTACCGCGTCGTCGTCATCGGGTCCGTCGCGCTGATCAGCGGCGTCCCGTTCATCCCCCCCTGCACCGGCATCGGGAAGTTCCGGTCGCGAGCGTCGAAGTAAAACGTCGGGTTCTGCGCCCACTCGTGCCCCGTCACGTCGCTGTGATGGCTCGTGTGCTTGCCCAGCAGCGTCGGCGCCATCGACCCCGTCGGGATCACAAACGCCTCAACAACGTACGACCGAAAAACCAACGCCATCACGAAGCTGATCAGCAGCGAGATGATCGTCTCTTTGATGGAGTGCTCGTGCGACGGATTGGCGGCTGCGCTCATAGATCTGACACCTTACCCAGTAGCAACCACGGATGCCGCAACAGCCGCGAGCGGAAGCGAGCGGACCAAAGGTCGCTCTCCACGCTGCACTCACCGGCATCCTGACCAGCACCTTCTCCCATTTCCGGGGGCGCGGGAGAAGGTGGCCGACAAAGTCGGCCGGATGAGGGGGC